AAACTCAGTCAGATTGTGGCGGCCATAAGTGATCGTAAAATACTGGATAGGAGTTGAAACCAGTGTGAAACAGAACTTTTTGTCAGTGCGAACCTCAACCTGAGGTAGGTTTTAAAAACAAACGATCAAACTGACGTTTTTCAGAAAACAAGCGTAGCCGATCTTGATACCCGATCCAGGTTGGAACTGAATAATAAACAAATTCGCTATTACAGTTCACTGTTGTTGATTTTAACTGTCTTGAATACTAAAATCCAAATCAAACATCGGAATACAGAATAATGTTTCCTCCTCATCGGAGTCACACTCAGGTTGCAGCTTCAAGTAAGCCGGAAAGCGGACAGTAAGTTTTTATTATAAAACAAACCAGAAAATTCATTGTAAATAATCTCTGCCTTTTCTCAGCCTTCTTAATCATCTAGCGTAACATTTTAAAAGGTCCTACAATCAAAATATTAACAAACCAGAAATGGATTGTAAACCACCGGCCTACTTCATATATAAGAAAATCTATGTTTTTTTTCTAGCATTTTTTTTTCTTTATTACCCTGATTTTAGTCGTAGGCTAGTTTATCACGTTATATATCAGATGGTCAGGCTAGATCCTGCCTCAAAAAATAGGTATTAGTTTAACATTAACGTGACGCATAACTGGCTCTGATTACCCAACGAATGAGACAGACAACATTTTAAAAACTTAATGTAAAGTGAGGATTACATCGGTGCTGTGGGGAGGACTGGGTGCGCGGACAAGGTAGAGCTCCACCGTGGGAGACAGTGCCCCGTCCGGCGGAGAAACCCCGACGGCAGAACAAATAGAAAGGTGAGGAAAACACGATCAGCGCAGCCAACGTTGAGGGGTCGTAACCAAGCAGATTACTGACGTTCTCCGGGAGTCCATGTTGTTCGTGTAGCTTTTGGAACTCCGGGCAGACACACAACTCGTGTTCCACCGAGGCGGGGATGCTGCAAATTGAACAGGAGCGTACGGTTTCGTTGATCTTCCTCAGGAAAGCGGTCCGCGATTGGAACCATTCCTGCTGCCAGGTTTCCATAACGCCTGACGTCAAGGAGGGGTACGTTCCTGGTGTAGCGGGGACGGGATGCACCAGATCCCGCCAGTCTGTCCGCAGCCTCGTTTCCGGGAACACTGCAGTGTCCGGGGATCCACGTAAAGACGCTTGAAGGTGGGGCGTACCGTGAAATGGCTTGTATCCAGGGGTGGCTCGGGGCTTCGGCTTCCAGCGCTTGGATGACGCTGTGTGAGTCAGTTAACACGAGGATCGGTTGATCTTCCGGAGTGATGGCTGCGTCTAGAATAGCTGCGGCTTCAGCGGGAAAGACGGAGCACTCCTCCGGTAGACTTTGACTCGTTGCAGTGTTCGGTCCAGCCACTGCCCGAGAAGCTCTGCAACAGAACGTCTCAAAGCTACAGAGTTATCTCCGGCTTGGAATTCTCTCTTAATCCGCATGAAGAATACTGTTACAGTCGTTAAAATGTCGAAGAATCAACCGTCTGCTCTCTAAAGTTTGCATTTCAATAAGTGCACACCGTTGATCGTAAGGTGGTAGGTTGACGGGAACATTCCAAATTAGATCCCGTAAAGCGTACCTGACGAAGCGTTTCTGAACTCGTTCGATTCGTTGGATGTGAACATTATGATGATTCAGCTTCATTTAGATCATCGACGTTGAGGAGTGAGGTTTTCGGTCGTTCGCTTGGTGCAGCTCGGCAGTTTCGAATAAAACAATGATAGTAAGCAATCATCCGGATAAGGGACAGGAAGTTGGAAAACGAGCAGGTACGCGACGTGCTTCTTGAACTGCCGCAGATGGTTGATCAAATTCGCTAGCTCCTACCGGCCAGTGACGTTGATGAAGGTGTAACCATTGTGGCTCATGCCACCAGAGATCGAAATTGAGTATCACATGTGCAGTCATCCCACGAGATAGGCAGTGTGTTAGATTCTCCAGGCCGGCATTGTGATTCCATGTACAGTTCTGGGTGGTAATTTGAATCTTGTAAATACGGTTTGCGACGAAGGTGTTCCATTCAGAAGGCGAACCGTCGAGCCAGCCCAGCCAGATGATTTTACCTTATCGTATAATTCTGCTGCCAGTAAAGCTCCACACAGTTCAAGTCGAGGAATGCTGAGTTGTTTGAGAGATGCAACCCGTGATTTGGCGGAGAGTAGAGCTACATTAACCAACCCAGCGGTATTAGTGGACCTGACATAAGCACAGGCACCGTAGGCGAGTTGTGAGGCGTCGGCAAAAATGTGGACTTGGACGGTTTCAGGTTCTGGTAGTACAATGCAGCAACTGATGCGGAGATTGTTCAGGTTTGATAGCAGTGATTGATTATTGATCCATCGCGTCTGGTACTCATTTGGTAGCTCACGATCCCAGCTCCAAAGTGCTCCCTTTTCGTCCTTCAAGTTCCAAAGGTTTTGCATGAAAACTTTAGCGGTCGTAACAACTGGACATACTAAGCCAAGCGGGTCAAAGGGGCCTGCAATAAGCGAGAGGGCAAGCCGTTTGGTGCGTAGGTTTGCTGAGTCCGACGGCAAGTCAATTTTGTAGCGCAGGCAGTCAGTTGATATCTCCCAGTAGAGGCCAAGTGTGTTGATTACATGGTCACGGTGAAAGTCTACTGATGTCTGCAAGGCACGGTTTTCAGGTGGAATTCCGTCAAGAACAGCTTCATCATTTGAGCCCCACTTACGTAGCTGGAAACCACCCTTTGTTAGGAGTCCTACTAAGCTCGATTACTTCCGCTGCGATGTTGCCTCCAGAAAAGAGATCGTCCACGTAGAAGTCTTTCTTCAGAACTGGAGCTGCTAAAGGGAAATTAGAGCCTTCGTCATTGGCCAACTGAATTAATACCCGTTGCGAGAAATGATGAACTAGTAGTGCCATACGTGAAGGTCTTTAACCTGTAAGTTTCCATCGTTTAGTCTCGAGAAGGCTTCCATACGATGAGCTGGACTGACGTGTCTCGAGGATCGACAAGACCCTGGCGATACATCATTTTAACATCTGCGTTGACCGTATGTCTTCTTGAACGGTTGGCTCAACCATAAGTGCATCGTTGGCCCTGTAAGAGTCTTACACGAGGCGTCGAAGGCGACCCGTAGTTTCGTGGTTGCGCTGTCTTCGCGAAGCACCGCATGATGAGGGCAGATAAAAGCGTTTGACGTTGGGCTCTTCGTAGTCGTGTATCCGCTCCATATGACCAAGGTCGAAGTACTCGTCTATAAGCGCCTTGTACTGCTGGCGTAGATCAGGATTCCGGATTAGACGACTTTGTAGCAGATGAAACCTACGGACAGCAGTCCGACGGTTATCGGTAAGTTGCTCAAGAACGGCTTCCTTGAAAGGTAAGCGAACGAACTACGTATCGGCCCTCCGTGGTACGCGACACGGTTTGACACAAATGCTGCTCGCAGGTTTGCTCTTCGACGGAGTAGGTGGAAAGTGAACTGTCCTCGATTTTCCAAAACCTTTCCATGAGGTGATGAACGTCTGTGACGGTAGCGATGTTTGCGACAACTGGAGGATTGGATGTGCTAACGGTGGATTTTCCTGACACTACCCAGCCAAATACTGAGTTTACCAGCACCGGCAGATGGTCACCGAGAGGAATTCGGCCAGGGAACTCGGAACAACTCGAACAATATCTCGGCTCCGATTATGATGTCGATCGGGTTGGTGCTATCGAACGATGGATCGGCAAGTTGCATGTCAGGTGGGAAGTCCCACGTCGAAGTGTCGAAGGACGTAGATGATAGGTCTATGGTGACGCTGGTGTGGTACTCACCAACTCGTGAACGAACGATGGAAGTGAACTTCTGTTTGGCTTGTGTAGATGATTGGCCGATGCCACTGATTGGAAGGTAGATCTTTCTTCGCTGAGCCTTCACACGTTGTGAGAAACGTTTCGTTATAAAACAGCACTCGCTTCCCGCGTCTAGCAGAGCACGTCCGAAGTGTTCGACGCGTAGTCGTTTCACAATTGGAAACCGAGTACGCGTAAATGTGATGACTTGATATTTATCGACGTTCGTATGCATTCAATTTTCCTGGCACCATATAGACAGCGACTCAATGTCAGCTTGCAGAGCACAGCAGTCCAGAGGTGATTGTATCGCTCGAAAGATTGTCAGGTCATCCACCTACAATATCCTTTCGGAGCACAAAATATTGCAAAGGTCATTAACGAATAACACAATCAGGGGACTAAATTGCTTTGCTTGTGGCACACCCGATGGAATTGCAAACTCAACGTATTAGATAGATACGATTCCAAACAATTTATGATCCCAGATGGTAGGCCAAGGCGATCCATTTTTAAAATCATGAGTTCGTGCGCCTTTCGAGAAATCAACATAAATAGCGTCCACTTGTTTCCGCTTTTCGATTCTGATGATGAGCTTATTAGTATACGACATAATATTCAAGGTAGTCGAGCGTTTTTTTTTCACGAATCCGTGCTGAATCTTCAAGATCACAGGTTCGATGATTACCCGCCGTAAAAGCTCTCCATAATTTAAAACACTTTTGTACCGCAAAGTGCCATAATTCCACGCATTTTCGAAAAAATCAAACTAAATTTTTATCGAGAATATTTTGAATTAAGATCTAGATTTTCGATAGGTATTATTGACTAGCGTATGGGAAAAATATAAATTCCTAAAATATTACATCACACTCTAAATTGTTGAAAGAAATGCGCAGAGTTACACGACACGCGAAATTATGGCACATCACGATACTTATCCTAGAGGATGCCCGATTGAATCTTCTGGTCTTACCCGTAGCTTCGTTGGACTTGCTTTTAGCATTACTAGAGAGACGACTTCTCCAGAGACTTCTCGATATTCTCGGCTACCGTTGAAATATTCCTTGGGTATGGAAATGATTTCTGAAAAATCTGGCAGCACTGCCGCACGACAACATGATTTGGCAAAACAAAACTATATACACCCAAAATGACTCACCTGCCGCAGCTATCGAGAAAGACTTCCTATCGCGGTCGGTGTGCTGTTACCATTGATATCGCACCAGTCGACCGAGTGCCGATCGGTCGTCGTAATCGTCGTTCTTGCTACAGCCCCGCAGTCAATGTCAATGTCACGTGCACTAGATCCCACTGGAGCCGGTTCAAACGCCTACGCATTCAACGATTTACAGATGCGAATCGTTCGAAATTTTAATAACACTCACTCGATAGACTGCTCACAGCTGATAACGGCAACGGAGTACTAATTACTTGCAAAACGAGTGCATCACAGTCAGCTGAGCAAGATCCTTCTGAATGGGCGCTGTAGGGTAAGTTTTCCCCTAGGTATTTCTCACAACACCAACCAACACGCCAAACACACACACACGCGATAACGTAGCACTGTTTCCTCAATGAGACGCTGATGCGACTACACACCACAGATCGACGCACTCTGCCAAAATTTAACCAAACTTAATTGCTTCACTCAACTAATTCGATTTTCTAAATTACGTAACTTGCCATTCAAACATGCAAAGAAGTTATCAATCCTCTCTTTCACTAGTTGCGTTTGAAACTGAAACTGGTCCCATGCTAAGCTTTCTTCTTCCCGGGTTTTCGATTTGGCAATATGGTCGGTTACGTCCGCTCCTTCTATTTGCACATCTGCTCGTTACGACGACCGTTCTAGCACTGGTTGAATGTCGCCGCGACGCGTACGGTATAAAATGTAATTTAGGGGGTCGTCAGCGGTCGGTCGGTCGGTTCTAAGTCACCGGTGAGCGCGCGCGCATAGTTTGGATGCTACATATGCGCTCTTCTGCGATGCTCTTTGGTGGGCCTGTATGGGAAGCGAGTGCCGAAAAATCAACAACGAGAAGCCGACAAACCAGCTCTGCTGTAGTCGCGAAAATCGGGGACCACATTATGCAACCAAGTCGAAACGACTTTTTCTTGCAAGCGTACCATATGAAAAAAACGCTTTGTTCCGACTTCCACTGTGAGGCCGCAAATGCTCATTTCGCGAGCCCGCACACACTAGTAGGAAGGTTTGTTTAGAGCGGAATTTTTTGTCTCATCGCGCAGCATTGTCGAATTCTACAATCCATAAAATAGCCGGTTCTTGGAGGTAGGGGTGATCGAATCGGCACCACACTTTCTTCTCGCGGAACCTGTGAATAAAGGCAAAAAAATAAAACATCATTTGACTGCAGATTCCTATCCGTAGATGTCATTCTCACACCGTACTAGTGGGAAGTGGCGGAGGAGGTTCCCATTAGCTAGGTTAGGAAGTAATGCAACTTAATTCTCGCGATGCACGGGGCGTACAGGTACTATAATACTAATGGAGTAACGAATCAAGATTCCTAGAAATAGCAGAGGCACGCACGTCACCGGGTGGTTACGAGAGGTTACGAGTGGCGTTGCTAACTGCAACTTTGTTAATTGCTAGACATTGACTGTAACGATGAATGTTCTAAATTTGATTATGTTCGATTGTTCCGGGCGTTTGAGATAACAGAAACGTGCATTATTTTTTTTTTCGTACGGCGAAAAGGGGCTCTTAGGGTGGGTCAACTTTACAACCCCAGACTCCCAACTGCGGGGCAACTTCAAAGCTTGTATGCAAAAATAAATAGGAAACGGAGAAAAACTATTCATTTTAGTGTTGCGAAAATATCAAAACATCAAATCTCACCAAAGAACAAAATTTTTTGCTAGACAAATATCAACATGCAAACAACTGCGGTTGATATAGCAAGCTGTGATATCGCAGCTCGGAATATCAAGCGAACAAAACTCACCACCTATCTCATCAAACTGTGGTGAGATTGAGTTTCATGACTTTTGTTTTACACCCGAACGCAACCGAAACTTCCAAAACGGCTGGCAGCAGATGCTTCGTGTTTGCCATCGGTGATGAGATAAATGAGATAGCACTATTATCACCGACAAACCGACATGAATGATCATACAAATTACAATGAAATTTCTGATCAAAGCACAAAACTGACATCTACTAGCCACGAAAACTCTTACAAAATTTATGAGTTGGTTCGTGTCTAATCCAGAGCGTAAAATTATTGACTGCCTAGGCTGAGTGTGAAAGCACTGCACTATTCAATCCATTGCTATGTGCACTGAGATGCCAGATTTTTTTTCTATGCGATTCCGTAGACTTATTTAAATCTACGGATTTCTACGGATTTTTTTTTTAGTCGAAGGTGATTGTTGGGGGAAGGAGGGAGTGTCCGGAAATCTTTTCAGCAGACAAAGAAATCACATTCCGCTTGCAATTCACGAACGCTAAAAGCTAAATTTCTTTATTAATACAAACTAAATATTAATTACTTCCTTAAAAAATACTCACATTGGTATATCCTTTCTCCTTTTATTCCTCCTCCAACTATGAAAATTAGTATATAAACCAAATTCACACAATTTAAATAAACTAACAATTTCTGGCCTTCTTGGCAGCATGAATTGCTATTTCTTTCTTCCTTTTCCGATTCTTCTGTCTACTCTTCCTAGCAACCTACACGGTAAGAAAAAAGTACCCAACGGCCAGTTCACTTTTACCTACTTTTGACTAGTTTGTCTCATTTTCTCCTTCTAATGTTGTCAAAAAAGAAGGAGCAAAATCACCCAACAGGGGTAGTAAAGTGTGGGAACCCAACGTTGGGTATAACCATATTTACCTACTGTTGGGTACAACTAACTTACTTTTGGTTAAAAAGCTAGTGGAAAATTCCATACGAACTGCACACAAGTTAATGAAAATTACTTTGACCCGATTTACCTTCTTTTGGGTTCCTGCACTATAGTGCCGAGATGAGTGAAAAGAAGTTAATTTTGGGTACTTTTTTCTAACCGTGTATCAAAGACACTCCTCCAGCTGTCAGTTTGTTTTCTTCGACGTTATGGCACCGGTTCGGTCATTTAACCGCCTTCACTGTCCGAGGGGTTTGGCGCGAATTACCGCAACAGTTCCCCGACCCGTAAGGTTGGTCCGGCGTCAGCTCCGGTTTGGTTTTACTCTCTGCAACGTCCAAAAGCGCCAACGTTGCCACCGGACGATGTACCATCCCGTCAGCAGTCTGCACTACCGCGTCACGCACTCGTCCATCCTTTCCTACGACCACCTCGGCTACGCGTCCTCGAATCCACCCATTGCGAGTCTTCTTCTCCACGAGCATGACCAAATCTCCCACTTCGATTGGCTTAACATCCTCGAACCATTTGGTGCGTCGTGCGATGGTCGGAAGGTACTCCCACACCCACTGGCGCCAAAATTGGTCCACCATGACTTGGCAAAGGTTCCAGTCGGTTCTGCAGGTCTGTTTAGGATCAGCAATTGTACTCGGAGTCTGCACCACGCCACTCGAGCTCAAGAGAAGGAAGTGGTTCGACGTTAGGGCTTCCTGTTGCGAACTCTCCAGGGGAATGTAGGTCAGGGGCCTAGAATTCACCATACTCTCTGCTTCAACCAGTACCGTTGCTAGAGTCTCTTCGTTCGGGGTACGTGTAGTGTACATGTGTGGCACTCCAGGAGGGTTGAATACCCACTTCGTGTTCGCGTTGGTGAACGTCCTAGCAAGCTGACAATCGATGCTATCCATCTCTTTCTTTAACTCGTTACTGGAGCCCACGAAGTTCGTTCCCCTGTCACTTCGGATCTCGACGGGTGCGCCCCTGCGTCCAATGAAACACCTGATCGCCATGTTGCAGGATTCCGTCGAAAGTGTATGTATGACCTCGAGGTGCACCGCACGTGTTGTCAGGCACGTAAACAACGCTACCCACCGTTTGGCGGTACTTCGGTTCACTCGCACTCCAATCGGCCCGAAGTAGTCGATTCCCACGTAGGAAAACGGTCGCACGTACGCCTGCAGCCTAGCTTTAGGAAGCGGAGCCATCCGGGGTATTGCTGGAATTGGCTTCTTCACCTTGCACAACGTACATTCTTTCGCCACCTGGCGCACAACCGTTCGTAACTGCGGGACGTGGAATCGCTGTCTTATTTCATTCACGACAGTTTCGCCGTTCGAGTGCAGATACCGCTGGTGGTACCATTCGACAAGGAGACGTGTTACTCGATGCTCCTTCGGTAGGATTACTGGAAACTTGGTGTCGAACGAAGCGAACGTTGTTGCGGCAATCCGGCTATCGGAACGTATGAGGCCCACTTCATCCAGATAAGGGGACAGCTTGCGAATTTGGCTATTTCTCTCCAGTGGAACCTGACGCCTTAGCTGCTTCCCATACCCCCTTCTTAAAGTCGCTACTTCGTCTGGAAACCGCTCTAGTTGAGCCCAATGCAAAATTGTTGTTTCCGCTTTGTTCAAGTCTTCTTGTGTCAATGATCCGTCCAATTGTGCTTCTTTCTTCACCATCCGCTTCAAATTCTTCGTGTAGCGATATACGTACGCCACCGCTCGGCACAAGCGCGTCCACCTTGAGAACCGATCTCAAAATGAGCTGCGGAACGTTGATCTCCTGATGCACCATGCACGCCCTCAATTCTTCGGTCGTCTCGTCGACAGGATGTACATTCGTAGTCCACTGATCTTCTGGTAGATACAAATCATCTTCTCCACGGAACCAGCGGCCGTTCTGGGATAGGCATGGCCCTTTGCCCCACTTTGTAGCCTCATCTGCAACATTTTTCTTGGTAGATATCCAACGCCATTGCTCCGCTTTCGATTTGGATAAGATTTCTCCCACACGGCAAGCGACGAACTGCCCATATTCCGATGGTCTGAGTTTATCCAGGCCAGCACTGTCTTGGAGTCACTCCAAAATACCACCTTCTCGACCAGCAGTGAATGTCCGTTGACAATAGCCTTCATCAGACGCACACCGATTACCGCTGCCATGAGTTCCAAACGTGGAATGGAGAGAGCCTTTAACGGAGCCACCTTAGACTTTCCCCCAATCAGCGCCACTCGAATACCACTTGGCAGCCCCGCCCGCCAGTAGGCGACACATGCGTATGCTTCTTCACTCGCGTCCACATAGATGTGCAGTTGTAGTGACATGATGTCCTTCGCCGAATGTTGAAGAAAGTAACAACGTGGAATATTTATTTTGTCAAAATGCTGGAACAATTCGGTCCATGATGTCCACTTCTCGAGTATCTTCTCTGGAATCGGTTGATCCCATTCGGTTTTGGCTCTCCACATCTCTTGGATCAAGATTTTACCATGGATGAGGAAGAAACTCAGCAATCCGAGAGGATCGAAAAGGCTCATCACAATTCTCAGCGCTTGCCGCTTGGTAGGATGGTCCGTTGTGGCTGCCAGCGTCGTTAGGAAGGTGAATACATCCCTTTCAGGCTTCCAGTTCATCCCAAGCACGCGTTCCGCATCGTCGACTCTCCCTCCTTCCCCCAACAGTGATATTTTACGTTAAATGATAAATTGATGAAAGAATTTTTGAAAAAATACTAGGGACAGCCCTCTAGTACATTGCAAACCTTCGGAAACTCTAAGCCGAAGAACTTTCATTGTCATATACAACAAATGTGGTTTGGCCACACGCCTGTCTTGACGACGAGTTTCACTGGATGCCATCATGAAATATGTCACCCGAACCCCTGGCTTGAATTTCCGTAGATGGCAGGAAAAGCTATCTTTTCGCCGTGCTCGTCATATATTAAAGACAGAGGAACCCTGTTTTGCGCGGGAACGATCTCCAGGCATTTGTTCTCATTCCGAAGAAGCGTTTTCTGTTACCCAAGCAGCAATTCTGTCTCATTATCCACGGCAATGGTTTCCAGCTCAATTTGAGGATCCACTACAGGGGTTTCAAGACCATATATGGCGAACTGATCAATTGTGATCTCGTAGCGGTGGTACAGTGGTGTCGTAATCTAATAAGAAAGCCACGCTACGACAAGTACGACAAGTACGCCACGGGTAATGACGTTAGGCATACGGTCGTTAGGCATATGGACGTTAGGCATAATGTACGATAGGCATAATGGACATTGGGCATAAAGGACGTTAGGCATAATGGACGTTAGGCATAATCTACCCAATGTATTCCAGAAAGGGGGCCGTCTATTGATTGCTGACTTCGGTGACAATAATGAAAGAGCCCTAATTTTTGGAACTCATGAAAACTTGCGACGTCCTGGACAGGCAAAGTATTGGGTTACAGATGGTACGTTTGCCACAGTTCCTTGTTTGTTTCGGCAACTCGTCACTGTTCATGGAAGCATCGCTCCTTTACATCAGCAGACGGTTCGGCTAGTATTCATTCTGATGACAACAAAAACAGAATCGTTGTATCGAAAAGTATGGCAGGAAATCCTGGCAGCAGCAGGTATGTCTTTTTGTTATTGAATGAAAAACCACAGAATGGCATATCACTTATGATTTGATAAATAATGGATTCCAAACTGTGCTTATTAAATAAACTATGTTTGTTTAACTTGTATCATTTTTTATTCAACGCTTAGTTTAAGTTAAGCATTGTTTACCATGCTCGAAACAGGTTTCTAGAGTTACACAGCAGCAAGGTATTTTATGCCTAACGTCCATTATGCCTAACGTATTTATGCCTAATGGGGTACACTCGTACGCCACGACAAGTACGACGACTTATGGATTACGTGCTTTTTGATGAACACGTTGAAGGTTTGATCGTCATCGAGCTGACGAGGAAGAGAGCGTCGTCTCTCTTACACAACGCAAACGATAGAACAACATTCGAACAAAAACAAAATTATCAAATGACTATCATATGACATATTATATGATTTCGTTCTAAATCCTCAATTTGGTGTAAATTAAACCATTTCTGATCAAAAAGGTTATTACTATGACATCGTTGCTTGCACAAGCACAACATCAGCAGCTCTTATTATGAGAAAAACTAAAATACTTACATCCGTGATAGTCTTGTGTCGTATGACATTTTAGTTTGGTACTGTAATTTGAAAGCTGTCGGATTTGCAAGTGTCGGAAGCAAAGGCAGTCTATTATCACAGAAAATGTGTCGACTACGGTGACCGCTTACAAGACTGGTCTCGACATGACTTTTATTCGCCTTCACACGGCACCGTCGAAAAATTTTCTCTTCATGCAAAGATTGACTGTATATTGTGGGAACTTTCGACGAAGTGAAGAGATTAGTACGAAGTACGAAGGCCGCCATGTTTCACGCACAGTCTGACGTTTGTTTACTCAAAAAGCAGATAAGTGAGCAAGAAAACGGTTGACAAGTTGCAGCGGTGTATTTTAATTTATGCTTCTTTGCCTTCAGAATCAGATTGTAAAATTCGATTCTGAAGAGAAACGTACACTGAAGAAAAAAATCCGTAGAAACTGTACTGAATTCCGTAGATTTTGCCTACGGATCCGTATTTCCGCAAGAATTTGTAAAATCCGTAGATCTACGGAGATTTCCGTAGATCTGGCATCTAGTTAGCAGACCGTTTGTACCAAACGGTAAAGAACGAGGCAATAAAAGAGCCATTAAAAACATTCAGTCACTCACCAGCAGGCGACGCAGTCATTTTTCCATAGAAAATGTACGTTCAGTCATTCAAAATAAATATTGGGTACCATCACGGCAGAATAAACGTGTTGGCTGAGTGCTCGGCTGTCAGTGACTCGTTTACCTCTCAATCATTCAAACTCTCACGATGCAGTGAATGATGAGGCAGATGGCAGTTCATGTTCATATCAAAATGACTCAATGGACCTGACTGTTTTGCGCACCGGTCTAATCTATTTCGGACAAATTATTTTTATCTAGATATAACAGGATAAAACATTCCTATGGTTTTGACAGCGCTTTTGAATCGGCCGTTATGAATTCTCGATCTAGAGTTCAGTTTAAGTTTCATGTCGGTTTTTCGGTGCTATTATACCTTCTCTATCTAAGAAAACGAGGTGCAATGGAATAATTTTTGCCTCGATTCAACTCTCAGCTTCATCTTTACACGTTGTGAATAGTCTCTGCAACATCAAGCATGCTATTTTGCTCGAGATTTTGCTCCAATATCACGCGTGATATTGAGAGCGTTTGAGAGCGGAAAAATATCAATTTGCTAATGATTATGCCATCACTGATCCATTTGCTAGTCAAAAATTCAAAAATTGCCTAACAAATTAGTTGCAAACTGAAAATTCAATTTGACTTCTATGCTAAAAGTTATTAGCTTTTTAACTTCACTCGAAGAAAGCCACGAATACCTACAAGCTCATAAGTACCTATATACGCCGGAGCAGTGCGTCAAAATCTCGACAATACACGGTGATATTGACAATTCTGCTTTGGTCACTCATTTGAGGTAACAGTCATCATCGAGGCAAACCATGTCAATTGTCAACGATAATGCTGTCAGTGACGAACACGTGTAGATTTTTTATCTACAAAATTTGTAACGAAATTAAATGACTTGAACGACACAATTACATGGAGCCGTTAAAGAAAGCAAGCATCTACGTCCTGAACTGCTTAGATAGCAATAATGTGACACAAAATGCACGAAATTACACTTTTTGTTACCAGGTGAATCTTTGTCATTGACGAAAAAAGTAAGAGGTTGTATCCAAGACACGACCGTAGATTTGACGTAGGATTACCTTTCGATCACAAAACGCACGGAATTTTAGGTTTATTCAATACATAATAAAAAAAATCAAAAATTGATTGGGGGAATTTCTTGCTAAAATTTTCCAATCGCGAGATATTCGCGATCAATCATATAAATTCGTGATTTTTTTTTTGCTTTATTCTAGCGTCCTTACCTTAATTCGAAGTGTTTCTGGTTAATTCACAAGGTCATGTTTTTATACCACTTCAATAGTGTTACGCATTTGGCAAGAAACGTTTGGTTGCTGGGTACATTATAAAAGAGCTTTGGGGTGATTGAATAAGCACCGTTCGGCGAGACCGGATGGAATTCGATTTTGAAATCTGTGTTAGGGAAAGCACTTTTAGCAGGCAATCGGTGATAATTTTCTTATTGATAAAGTGTTCATTTTAATAGATTTGTAGAAAAATTTCCAACCGATTGGCTTGTTTAAAATTAAAATCCATCCGCTATGGACAGAGTTATTAGTGGTCAAAATCTGACCACTTTTTGTAAAGCGTTCGATATACGCGTATCTGTCAAAAGATAAGCAATTATAACGGAATTTAAAGGAAACAAACCAACACACTCAAAGCTCTTCAATGCTAAGTTGCTATAGAAGTATCGGATTTTGCCTCAGTAGTAGACAATATAATCAATTATATTATTTTCTAATTATATATGCCCTTTTCATATGGAATTCTCGATTAATCTAAATGATTAGTTGCTGATTAGACAAAATTGAATCACAAATTGAGCTACATTGGGTTCTGAGATGATTTTGAGCTTCAGTGGTTTAGTTTTGTG